AAATGGTTAACGGGGACCTCCATAGCTCCTGACTAACGGGACCAAAACTGAAATTAGGGTCTCGGGGGGGGGGGGGGGGGGGAAGCGGGAACTCGGAAACGTGACTGTCCAAAATTGCACAAAATCAGAACAGCCGAACATAAAATGAATTGGAGGACCTAGAAGTGAACCCGGCGGGGTGGGCATCGAATCTGAGGGGAGGAGCGTTAACTGCAACCAGAAGAACGAACGTACTGCATTACACAACCAAGCTGGGGTACCAACTCGGAACGCATTCACATCCGCTAGTGGGACCCCTAGCCAAACGATGGGAGGATCAGATGAGCACACCACAGATGCAAGTGTCCCACATACCATCCATGGGCGACGCAGCATACCATATGGCTGGGCAGGGTCAGGAGCTTGCAACGGCTGATGGACCGTAATGCACTACCGGTCAGCGCATGCATGGTTATACGAGCGCAGAAGTCGGCAACAGAGGGAGCCCGATCAGGGGCAGCGCAAGCAGTGCTCAGAGGGGACCTTCAAAAAAATGCTACATTGCCATTGCCTGATGTTATGCCCAGAGGCAGCTTATGTTTGGGGATTAGCTCACAGGACCTCTGGCGAAGAATTGCAGGCATCCCTTTTCCAGAGGACACGATATCATTGCTGCTTGGTACAGAACCCCCTAAGACGTGGCACCCCTTCCACAAACGCTCCTTTCAGCTTGTCAGACAGTACACGCTTTGGACCATCTGGAAGAGGATATGCTAGCAGACAATTGGGAAGAGGCAGATGTACAGAGAGGAGGCGCAAGAAACTTTCTACAACTTAGTGGAAACAGATATCAGGGGGTGATGGCAGAGAGTAGGAAGGTAAGCCCAGCAAAGTCCGAAGACGGCCCAAGATATAATAGATAGATTTCAGAATTGGGTATTGGGCCAAGGTAAGGTGGCCACAGTGGAGGGGCCGACACTCCAATTCCAATACCACCCACCCAGCCCAAACTCGACTCAGCAGCCACAAGCAGCAGTCAGCCGGAGCCAGGGGAGTTAGGCGTAGGGTTTACGGTTAAGGAGGGTTAAGAGTTTTCAAGCAGAAGGGGAGGACAGGTAGTGGGTAGCGGGCAGTAGGGAGAGCAGGCAAGGGGTTGGGAGGCCTTTCTACAACGGAGACGAGAGGTAGGCTAGGGGGGGAAATCAAGTAGAAGCTTTATCTTTTTCTTTCTAGTCCAGTTACAGCCTCTTGGGACGCTGGACCTGGTTTCCAGCACAAGCCTAAGCTGGGTAATAGGGGGGTACTAATGGCCCCAGATACGTCCGGGTTGAGATGTTGAGGTCAGGTTTATGATATAATAAAAAGAACTCACTTTCTCTGAAACAAACAAACAAACAAACAAACAAAAAAAAAAACACAGAATGAATGTGAATGATGTAAAAAAAAAAAAGAAACAGACGAAAAAAAAACTAACTGCACCAAACACACAGACCAAGTCAAATGGGTACCCGCAGAGGCCCCGATTCGGGTCCTGGGTATTATGATGACAGCCGTGGGCAAACCAGCGTCTAACGACGACTGGATTCTGAAACCTGCACTGGAAAAACTCGCTCACTGGAACGACAAACAGACATCACTGGTGGGTAGGGCCTTGGCCATCAATAACTCCATTATGGCTTCATTGTGGTACAAGTCTGCAATATGGCCCCTTAGCAGGGAGGTGGTCAAAGCGTTGAAGAGACAGGTTACGGCGCTGCTCTGGAGAGGGGACAGCAGTCTCCCAAATGTCATCAATAGAGTTGCTTGGCCAGTGGTGATTCAACCCAAAGACAAGGGCGGTCTAGGAATTTTAGACCCGGTTATCCAAGTCACAGCAATAACAGTTCAGTGGATTAGGCGGCTGTTATTCAGCCCCCGTCTCCCATGGGCGGCTCTGGCCTTTGAACAAATTGCACGATTAGCCCCCCAGGCCCCTTGTGAGGTTGGATCCGCTGACTTGGCTCGAGGACCGTTTCTGGTCCATACCTCGCCCCTCCAAACACCAGAGGGATACAGAACGGGAGGCTACCAAACGAGACCTAGCTGGGGATGACTTCTGGATTAGTTCACTCCGCGCGTGGCGTCAGCTCCCCGTGCCAGACAAGAGCCGGCCGTGGAGAGTATGCTAAAAAGTAATCATTGACATGGACCACACAGTATGCGCAGCCATAGTGTCGTACAGAATGAGTACAACTGGAATTTGAAACACACACACATGTCAAAATGAACATGGACGAATTCCGTTCATCCGCCGCATGCCTTCGACTTCGTATTCGTTTCTTTGCACGAAATTGAACGAGCCGATGAGCTACACAAGCTGACTACAACAAAGCTTCCCACTTTCATCCCCTCGTTTCCTAAACGGTTAAATGACAAATGAAGTAACTTACCTGCATCAGCGCATGCTGAAACTTCAAAGCTGCAAGGGGAGCGTGGTATGGTCGGTGCATGGTCAGTCGCTCTGCTGTCAATTGAAACGCAG